CTTTATCTCACATTAGTGATCACTATCTAATATATGCTTCTTTGAAACTTAAGATGTTGAAGCCGCCACCTAGTTATAAATGTGTGAGATCCTACAAAAACTACAAACCTGATAGTTTCCTCGCGGATTTACAACGAATACCTTGGTATGATATTTCCAGCATGGATGATGCAAATGTAATGCTAGACCATTTCAATGAGAGGTTTCTCCATGTAATGGAAACACATGCACCTGTGAAAACAGTGAGGATTAAACACCGCAGCTGCCCCTATATTAGCACAGAAATTCGCGAACTTATGCAATACAGAAATAACCTATTGAAAACGGCTCAAAGTACTAAATTAGCAACAGACTGGGAAATGTATCGTAAACTAAGAAAAGAAGTAAAATCCAAGCTGAGAGATGCCGAAAGGGAATATGTACGGAAAGAACTAGAGCACAGTCACTGAGTCACAACACTAAGGGACCGGTCATTATTTATGGCAGGGGTGGGGGCCGAAGAGAAAGTATAATGCAGCCAGAAAAAAATCATTACCCCATCTTTTTCGAAACAAAATTTCTAGCTACCCCACCGGTGGAATGCTGGAAAAAAATTTTACCCCTGGCCACCTAAACCTATCTTGTTGCAACGTCATTATAGGGTGCTTTGATCATAATGGCCATTATAATTAAAAGGGGATGGGATTGATTGGTAAACATACCGATATCCCTTGCCCCTTATTACTTGTGGAGTAATTAATTATAAAGCACACTGACAGTCATGTGGGGCATGCTATAGTTAGCTTATTATGGGTCACTTCTACAATTGCTAGGTACGGTACTATATAAAGAATTATAGTTATGTGAAGGCTTGAAATTTGTCTGCTGAAAATAAGACTTGTCATTTGTGTAGTTAATATAAAATAATATAATTTATGTTATAAGCCTTGGGGTGGGCCCATAGGGAAATGCCAACAGAATTAAAGGATTTCAACATTTCTGCACTGAAGATTCAGATGCAAGTTATATTACTCACTCATATTAAGACTGGCATGCATTCTGACTCAAGCGACTGTACAGTATGATTCAAATTTGCATGTTATGAGGGGCATGGGGGTTTGGATCAGTGAATGCTGAAATCTTGGCAGTTGCATGGCCATTTAATATTGGGATACTTCGCTAGTTTACTTCGTTTACTTCTCTAATTTTTACATACTTGTTAAATTGAAATATGATTGGGTTTTATAGTTTGTATTCAACGCTATATTCACTTTTCACGAGTGCAATGC